TCAGTTCTTGGAGAACGCTGGTTCCTCCTTCTCGCGGCTAAGCCAGTTGGGCTAAAGTGGCTTCTTTCTCCTTGCAGAAGACAAAGGAAGTGACCAAGAGCTGGAGAAAGGGTCGGGGGTGAAGAGATCCAGCCCTGATCTGGGTCCGGCCAGCCCACCCCACAACCACAGCCCCAGTTTGCAGGCAGAAGAGCGGAATAAAGAACGAAGCAAAGCCGGCGAGGTCTCCAAGGAAGCCGGTGGTGAGACGGCCCCCTTCACACCTCTGGGCTTGGAGAAGGAGAAGCTGGAGGGCAGAAGGAAGGAGCCTCTCCTGCAGTCAACCCAAGAAGGATCCAAAAAGGAATTGCCCGGGGATTGTGCCCCGGTGGGGTGCAGCAGCAAGGAAGCATTCCCCCCGCTGATGGTGCAGACCGACAGCCCACCGCACCTGAACCCCAGTCACCTACAGAGTTTGGCTCTCTCGGGTCTCCACGGCCAGCAGTTCTTCAACCCTCTGGGCGCCGGGCAACCCTTCTTTCTCCACCCGACCCAGTTCGCCATGGCGCCCGGAGCCTTTTCGGCGATGGGCATGGGACACTTGCTGGCTTCGGTGGCAGGCGGCGGTAGCTTGGAAAACGGGGGACTCTCAGCTTCTCAAGGGACGGCAGGCACCACGACCCCGTTCCCTTTCCATCTGTCCCAGCACATGTTGGCTTCTCAGGTAAGGGGGCGAGGAGGACGGGAGGACAAAGGGTTGGTCTCTCTTGGTGAGAGGGTGTCCTGGTGGACCATCACTTGAATAGGAGCCAGGCGTGTGCAGCAGCTGCCAAAAAAGCCAACGCAGTTCTAGGCTGCATTAACCGAGGGATAGAATCAAGATCACAGGAAGTGTTAATACCGCTTTATAAGGCCTTGGGAAGGCCATACTTTGAATAATGGTTCCAGTTTTGGTCGCCACGATGTAAAAAAAGATGTTGAGACTCTGGAAAGAGTGCAGAGAAGAGCAACTAAGAGGATTAGGAGATCGAAACATAAAAAGAATGGTTACTGAAATTGGGTATGTCTAGTTTAATGAAAGAAGGACTAGTGGTGACACGATAGCATTGTTCCAGTATCTCAGGGGCTGCCCCAAAGAAGAGGGAGTCAAGCTATTCTCCAAAGCACCTGAAGGCAGAACAAGAAGCAACGGAGGGAAACTAATCAAGGAGAGAAGCAACTTAGAACTAAAGAGAAATTTTCTGACAGTGAGAACAATTAATCAGTGGAACAACTTGCCTCCAGAAGTTGTGAGTGCTCCAACACTGGAAGTTTTTAAGAAGAGGATAACCATTTGTCTGAAATGGTGTAGGGTCTCCTGCCCAAGCAGGGGGTTGGACTAGAAGACCTCCAAGGTCCCTTCCAACTCTGTTATTCTATTCTATTCCCCACTTCTGCTCAGGATGGGCTAAATTTACCATGCTTTTGATAATGTGTCAGCTTTAAGTTTGGTGGACTTCAATTTCCAACCTATATGAACGTACAGCATAGATGCATAGGTCTGAAAGGACCCTTGGAGGTCTTCTAGACCAACCCCCTGCTCAGGCAGGAAACCCTGTTCCATTTCAAACAAGTGGTTGTCCAATCTCTTCTTAAAAACTTCCAGTTGTTGGAGCTCCCACAACTCCTGGAGTCAAGTTGTCCCACTGAACAATCGTTCTCACTGCATTAAATTCTTCCTTCGTTCCAGATGGCTTCTCCTCTTGATGAGTTTCCACCCATCGCTTCTTGTCCTCTGGTGCTTTGGAGAATAGCTTGACTCCCTCTTCTTTGGGGCAGCCCCTGAGATATTGGGAGGCTGCTAATCATGTCACTCCTGGTCCTTCTTTTCATTAAACTAGACATACCCAATTCCAGCAATCGCTCCCCATATTTTTACAACCATTGGTTTAGTGATTGTATGAAGTTACAGTGGCACTGAAGAAAAATGACTTCTGACAGTTTTTCACACTTACCATCATTGCAGCATCCCCACGATCACTTGATCAAAATTCAGATGCTTGGCAACTGGTGTGGAATTACCGTATAACGGTTGCAGTGAATGTGTGAACGTAACGGCCAAGTTTCTAACCCTCCCTGCTTGCGAGGGGTTGTGTTAAAACAAACCCAGCCCAAATGTTTTGTGTGGTGGTTAATTTCATTACCCAGATCAGAGATGTAAATTTGCACTTTTCGCCGAGCTCTAATCGGGTCTGTTTCATTTTACTTTGGTTGATCAAAACGAACAAAATGAAATTCAACATAGAGAAAGGTTACACTTTAGGCAAGAAAAATCAAAAGTACACATATAGACTAGGTGAAACCAGGCTTAATATTTTTTTTTCAGATCTCTGTTTTTTAGTGGGATGTTTAGTCATTGGATCCAGAGGTTTTTATATGGTATATTTCATATTGTAGCCCGGTGATGCTCAAATTTCTCACTTTTAAACCCCGTGGACTTCAACTCCCAGAATCCCTGGGCCCGTGATGGCGAACCTATGGCACACGTGCCAGAGATGGCAGGCACAGCCCGCTCAGTAGGCATGCGCGCCGTTGCCAGCTGCTCTGGCCAGCTGGTCTTCACGGGTGCCAGAGCACCAGAAAGTGGCCCGAAAATCAGTCCCCCCAAAAGGCCATTTTTCAGGCCGTTTTCAAGCTGTTTTTTGAACCTTTCGGCCGAGCTTTTCTCAGGCCATTTTTTTGGACCTTTTTTCAGGCCATTTTCAGACTGTTTTTTTAAACCTTTTGCCCTGACCGTTTTCAGGTCTTTTGGGGGGGCATTTTCAGGCCGTTTTCAGGCATTTTCCTGGGCCATTTTCAGGTAGTTTTTCAGGTTATTTTAGGGGCCTTTGGGGGCCCATTTCTCTACCATTTTCAAGCTGTCTTTCAAACCTTTTGCCTGGGCTGTTTTCAGGCCTTTTTTGGGCTGTTTTCAAGCCGTTTTCAGGTGTTTTCCCGGTCTGTTTTAAGGCAGTTTTTCAGGCCATTTTGAGGCCCTTTTTCCCAGCCATTTTCAGGCTGTTTTTTGAGCCATTTTCAGGGTGTTTTCCAGGGTATTTTCAGGCCGTATTTCGGGCTGTTTTCAGGGCCATTTTCAATGCCCCCAAAACAGCCTGAAAACCAAAAAAAAAACCAAGATGACCAAAAAAACCAGGCATGCATGCAACAGCCAGCTGATCTTTGGGTTTTCCAGCACAGGCACATGCATGCGCCCAAAAGATTCACCATTACTGCCCTAGATAGAGATCTCATAACATTGTCAACAATCTCATGCCCTTGGATTCATATCATCTATTGGTCAGTTCTGCTAGCCTCTAAGACCCCAAATGTGTCTCTGAGCCTTGCAGGAAAACGTCAGGAGTCACGGACAGCGTCCCTTTTGATAGAAGCTAATGGCTCCGTTACTCATGGCTAATTTTTCCACCTGAAGGACCTCTAAGATTCTTCTCTTAAGTTTCCCAGTTGGGTTGACTTGACTTGACAAAGTCAACTGTTGACTGAGAACATTGTTAAGAAGAACAAGCTTAGGATATTACCTGGGCTGGATTTGTGGTGGGGTTTTTTTGTTGCTGTTGTTGTTACCTATTTCTTTTGCACGCTTACAAACTTTGCCATTTTTTTTTGGTTTGCAATTGTAGTCTGCTGGTCTGATTTTTATAACAAGAAGAACTTTCCTTTTTTTTTTTTTACCTAAATAGCAGTTGGTCTTCAAAAAACAGATCTGTTCAGAGATGACCTTGTAGGTCATTATACAAACCTACTCTCTGCAGTTTGCTTATGGCACCCTCTGCGTCCAGAAAATGGGGCTAACGAAGTTAATTTTGGATAAAATTAAGCCTGGCTAAGCACAATGTGTCAAGGCAGATAAGGGTTTGCACAGTAAGCAATGAAAACTTGTTCTTGATTGCCCAAATACGTTGGGATGTAGAATAGGGGTAGTCTTCAACTTACAACCACAATTGGAACCAGAATTTCCATCGCTAAACAAGGTGATTGTTATTTATATTAGTTATCTTTATATTTATTTATTAAATATATTGCCCGCCCATCTGATCTCAGGATAACTCCTGTTTGTTAAGTGGGTCGGCCCCAATTTTGCAATTAATCACTGCCATTGTTAAGTGAATCACATGGTCATTAAGCGAATCCAGCTTCCCCTGTTGACTTTGCTTGTTGAAAGCCGGCTGGAAAAGTTACGCGACCATGGGATGCTGCAACTGTTCCAAATACATGCTATATCAGTTGATAATATAAAAATACAAAAATACGAAAGCAAATGGTAGGAAAAATAAGAAAGGGAAAAGGGGAAAGGAGAAATGTAGAAAAGAAAGGAGAAAGGAAAGAAAATACATTGACTTCCACTTCTCGCTGGAGCAGGACTGTTAGTCCTTGACTTAGGACCACAACGGAGCCCGGAATTTATGTTGCTAAGTGAGAAATTTGTTAAAAGGGAATTTTGTCCTCTTTTCCTGCCACATTTGTTAAATGAATTACTGCAGACATTAAATTAGTCACATGGTTGTTAAGTGAATCTGGCTTCCCCATTGGTTTTGTTTATCAGACAATCGCAAAAGGGAATCACGTAACCCAAGGACACTACACCTGACATAAGTACATGCCAGTTGCCAACAGTCTGCATTTTGATGCCATGATCATGGGGATACGGCAAAGGTCATAACTAGGAACAATGATCATAAATTTTTTTTTTCAGAACAGTCACTAAGTGAATCGTAGCACGTTGTTGTAGTAAGCCAAGGACTACCTGTATAATAAAACAGTAACCACAACCTTTTACTTTTACATAGTAGTATTAATTAGCCATTTCTATAACAACAAACCTATCTCATTGGTAAAACTCAAAATCAAAGCTTCATTTTTTCCCCCACCTCGAGCACAGAGTCCAGAAGTGGTTTTCAAGTCGAAACGAAAGTAATTGTGCTTGTTTCTTTAATCCAAGCAGCCAATTTAGCCATCTCTTCTAATTCCATCCACTTTTGCAGCCATTCGTCCATTGTGGGCAGTGGTGGGTTTCCAAATTTTTTTCTACCGTTTCTGAGAGCATGCACACAGGCCTCATACACCACCCTCTGTGTCAAAGCTAGTGAGCTGAGCTGTTGTCAGCATTCCAGAAAACCTCCACTCCAACAAATAACTCCGAGACAGACATCCTCTCCAAAGTCCTTTTTATTAGAGTGGTAAACTGTCACATCTGGGAAATCCTGAATCTGAAAGTTCCGGGTTTCCTTGAAATAAGTAAAAAACTACAAATCCACACCCTGCATCCCTCATGGCATCATGTGCTCCAATCACCATCTGCCCCAACTTGAGACATCCCCTCACCCAGGTGCAGAAATAACATGACCTTGACTTAGAAGAAGAGTGCTATTATGTCTAACCACATGCACTCCAAGACATTCCTCCCTCCCATTTTCCCGGATCCAAAATGGCAGTGTGGAAACGTCTGGTGCTAATATGGCTTCCAAAGCTGACAGCTGGGTTTTTTTAGCTTAGCTGAGGCGCAGCAATCCGCTCTGCCGCGTGAATCAGCTGAGGTAAAAAACAAGGGAATATAGGAGAGAGAACGGTGGGGGTGGGTAGGTGGGGCCAGCCAAAGGTGGTATTTGCCGGTTTGCTGAACTACTCAAAATTTTCAAAACCAGTACGTCAGAACCGGTCCAAACCAGCTGAATACCACCTCTGATTGTG